CACAATATAACGTTGCTACCAGTGGCACTTACTACACGCAATATAACGTTGCTACCAGTGACATTTACTACACGCAATATAACGTTGCTACCGGTGACATTTACTACACAATATAACGTTGCTACCAGTGACATTTACTACACAACGTTGCTACCAGTGACTTACTACACAATATAACGTTGCTACCAGTGGCACTTACTACACGCAATATAACGTTGCTACCAGTGACATTTACTACACACAATATAACGTTGCTACCAGTGGCACTTACTACACGCAATATAACGTTGCTACCAGTGACATTTACTACACAATATAACGTTGCTACCAGTGGCACTTACTACACGCAATATAACGTTGCTACCAGTGGCACTTACTACACTCAATATAACGTTGCTACCAGTGACACTTACTATACACAATATAATGTTGCTACCAGTGCACTTACTACACTCAATATAACGTTGCTACCAGTGACACTTACTACACAATATAATGTTGCTACCAGTGACACTTACTATACACAATATAATGTTGCTACCAGTGGCACTTACTACACTCAATATAACGTTGCTACCAGTGGCACTTACTATACAATATAACGTTGCTACCAGTGGCACTTACTATACAATATAACATTGCTATCAGTGGCACTTACTATACAATATAACATTGCTACCAGTGGCACTTACTATACAATATAACATTGCTACCAGTGGCACTTACTTACAAGAACTTTTAATTTAGTATTTACTTCAAGCTGTTGAAATGAAAGGTATTAACAAGATAAATTTATAAGTGCACTCCTGAAAATTTGATGATGGTCCCAATCTTGTCTTTTGTCACTCTTACTACATTTTTTAATAAATAAAATACAAGAGACAAAATAGATTTAACTTAACTAGCTTTCACATGGCAACAATATTTTCTTAATGGTAAGTCCTTGAAGAGGACTATTAAACTAACAATCTCCACGTTAGTTTTAAAAATTCAGTAAACATGTACACTTGGTACCTTCGATATATCTTAATAATTAAAAACAAGTTTGTACAACATATTTCAATATAAAATGTTGTATCTCAAAAATAAAATTTAGTCAAGTTTCTCTGACTATTTAAGGAATCTATCAGATTACTACTAACCTGATTAAAAATGTCGTCTTTTATAAACGATGAATCCACTTTATATCCACATTTTGTACAAGTAGCTGTAGCAAATGAACCTGTCCCAAAATCAGAACTTGAATGTATAAAAGCTAAGTGATCAATACTTAACCAATCTTGGTACAAAATTTATATTTCATAAATAAACATAAATTATGAGAAAATGTTTGTTTTTTTCTGAATGTTTGTCCAAGTTGGAACATTCTACTGACTGTAACACGAAACACAATGGCTGATAATACTATACACATAACATATTTTAAATTCACCCTAAATTATGAAGCTTTGCCAATATTGGAATTATGAAAGAAAATATTTTTAACAGTGAAAGATTTTCGTCTGATGATTCAGTACATAAAGTTTTAGTATCATGGTGTACTAATTTATGATAACAGTATTTCTAGCAATTTTTTTATACAAGACTGATTTTATAATCTTATAAGTTACTTTTTATTTTATTATATTTTATATTTATATTTTATTTCTGATCTATATTGTTATCTTACTTTTGATCACAAATTGTTAAAAATAAAACAATGATGGATTTTAGAATAGTTTAAAATTAAATTCATTTTCAAGTCTCATCTTATTTTTAGACAAAGACCAACTTAACAACAGGTTTGGTATTTTATGTCAGAGAAATATACTGGTACATTATATTAACTTAATGAAAAGTACTAATATTTTATGTTAACTCTCTCCATGCAGGCTCAGTCATTTTCACAGAACTTGTAGCCACCAGGTAATTATGAAAGTATTTAACCGGCTTTCTAACTTACAATAATTCCCTTAGCTATTTAATTGGAACTCTGCAAGAACAACTTTCAACCTTTAGGGAAAATAACTAAAAATCTCTAGTGAGAACAAGGGAGCATTATACATCATTTAGTAAACCAAAACTTTGACTTTTAATTAATTACAAATGATTTAATAGCAAACATTACAGAGAAGTACTGGCAATTTGAAAGAGATAAGTAATGGAGCAAGTGGGTCTGACCTTCTAGTTTATATCTTCATAAACAAAGAAGATTGAATGCTATAAACATTACACTATCCCTTATTAATACTTATATTATAATAATTTACTTTAATCCTTTCGCGATGGGTGGGTCAATCTGTGCACGTCACAGTCTTTTAGTGGGTTTTTTCAAAATTTAATTAAAACTACTTTTTGTTTATGTTATACCAATTAGTATAGCATAAAATTGTGGCTAATAATTAATATTTTAAAAGTATACAAGTTTTAAGATCTTAATTTTATAAGGCAATATTTTTAAAAGTCCTGAATTTCCCCTAGTGTGAGAAATAAAACACATTTTCTCTAGGCATCTCCTCTTCTCTATTTTATTCACCACCCCTCCAATAAGTATGTAAATTACTCACTATAAAATCGTCATTGATCAGACAAACCATAACTTTTATAGTCTTCAATATTGTTTGGTTACAGAGCCATCAAATAGAAAATCAGACCTCTCTTGCCACACCCACCTGTCACATCCCCCTTTTAGGATTTGTTAATAGTTCTCTCTTACGTTTGATTCTACATTACGTATAACCAATAGAAAGCCATGGTTTTTATCTATAAAATGTCGTATTATATTAGGTTCTTTTCTAAACAGAGAATTGCCTTTGTCAGTGAGTTTAAGCTTCATTACCAAGGGAAAGATAACGACTAGCTTGGATAAATTTGTAACAGTTTTTGTCACACACCTAGAAAACCAGAAAAATTACGAGTGTCAGGGGAAATTGTCTGCTTTTTGCATGTTATTAATCTATGTTCTTTGGTCCATTAGTTAATTAGATAAAAATTATTTTGTGCATTACTACCATTAATATAAAAAAGTAGGGTTAAGTGTCATTGACAGTAGACAAGAAAAAAACAAAAAGACTCCAGTAAGTACTTTATTTCTTGATTTTCATGTTCAGTCTTTATTTAAAAGCAATTAAAATGTAAAAATAGGAATCTCTTTAGGTTAGATTAGGTAAAATAAATAATAATAATATAATAAAAATGTTTCACGAGGCATGCACGCGAGCAGGTTGGACTCACAGTAGCTCATGAGTAAAGTCATTTGACAGCTTAACGTGAGCTCCATGTTCCCCAAGTGATTTATAACTTATAATGGCATGAATGGTAGTAGTTAGTTGTTCAGAGGGCAATTGCAGAGCAATAAAAGAATAAAATTTACGTATACTGTTACGAGTTTAAAGCTATTTAGGATAAACGAATTAGTAATCTTGTAGTTACGAGGTCAGTCAAATTGACCGACCCCGTATAGCGTTACGGTAGAGAAAATAACAGGTAAAATATAAAATTTTACCGAAAACAAACAAAGGAGGTTTTAGAGACTACACAAATGATATTTGAGATTTCTGGGATGAAGAATAGTTTTTTAATCATAACATGAAAATCACATTGCACTCAGAGTAGTAACGAAACAGACTGGATATATTCCCAAACAAATTTTTAGTAAAAATATTTCATTTAAAAATCTGATTTTTTGTGCACAAAAGACTTGTAATGTTTACTAAATGTCTACCAAATTTTGGGAAGATACTCATACTGCACTAAAAATTATAGTATAAATACATAATGTGTGCAAAGGTGTATAAAAACTCACATAATTTAAACCAAGCCTGTCGCAATAGGGTTAATTCATGACATCACATAGTGGTGATGAAAAAAAGTTGAGCAAGTTAGAGTGAAAAATGTCAATATGCAT